CAGACAGGTGCCACGTGAGCACTACATGTGAGGAGCACTTGCCAAGCAAACTGCTCGACTCTGCATTCATTACTTCGAACTTACACCAAAATTCGCCTTGATGCGCTCCGGAGTGACACTTTTGACAATTACAACGATGCCACGTTGCAGTCCGTGGCGCAGCAGCACCTGCGCTGGCGCCTTCCCATGTTTGCGTGCGATTTCAACAACGTTCTCCTCCTCCAGCAGCGACTTCACCTTGCCCCTACAAGCAACGTGACAAATGGTTCGGTTCAAATCCCACCAGACGAGTACAATGACCATGTGAACATACTTAATGAGACCACGTTACAGGTTAACTATTTAGCAAATTAGGCTTTAAATCTGTGGACAATCTGGCGGTTTCTTCCAACATGCAGACCATATTTTCATAGCCCTGATGGCCTTAGCAAAGCTGGCCTCTCTTTGCTGTATTAGTACGATTTACTGGTCCAACTACTCGCTATTCCAGCCTTCCTCTTAACACTGCCCACCCATCTCTTCTTCCTATTAGTGTCCCTTATAAACTATTATCTCGTGAGACTTTCTTCTGATTGACTTTAAGATGATACCTGCCATTGAAGTTGCAATAGTGGTAGCCATTTGAGGACAGTACTGTCGCTGACTGACTAAATAAGTGAGTAACTGAATGAATTGACCCATTGTTGATGGTGCTCAAGTGATCCACCACCCCACTATATGCCCTGCATTAGTAAGTCTGGCACTGTTTGATCAAACCACAGAAGCTACCTTCGCCTAGTTAAAAAGTGTTTGTGTGTAATGGATGTGTTCACAATGCAATGCGGACACGCTTGTTTACTGGGAAATAGTCACCTTCTGAGGAAAAAAGAATGCATGAGGATAATCTCCTAATTGGGAGAGAGGAATGGAGACAAAGGTAGGCGAGGGGAGAGCAGATGTATCCAACCAATTAACGTCAGGTAAAAAAAACAACCCGAATGAAGTTATGAATATGTGGATGTCTAAAACACATCCACAAATTGTCCCGCTACAAGTACAATGGTGAAATTACGACCAAGTGCGAAGAAGGTCTGATGGGTTAAGTGATAGGCAACACCTTCTCTTTCCCTCTCATTGTAGGGACACAATCCCCCTGCAGGCAGAATTACAAATTAAGTTAAAACGTTTAGCAGTGGAGCGATGTGTTCTCCATTTGACGGGGTAGGGATCATGAGATCCGTCAAAATTGAATCAAGTACAAGCACAGACCGCCAATCGTCGCTCTGATTAGTTGTTGACGCAGGCAACAAACATTTTCACACATGCAAGGCGAATAAGGTAGAATAGAATTGGAATGCGTCTTTTAAGCAGAAGTTTGAGCTTTTCACATGTCAAGTTGGTTAAAACTTGTAGAAAACCCGCAAAAAACTGTCACATTTGGAGCTATGCTCGTTCCCTACAATGCAATGGCGATGGAAGGAGAAAAGGAAACCGAGATGAAGGAAGAAAGGAGGGAGGGAAGTGTGTTCATGGCCAAATTATGGTTAACGCTTTGCTGTCACCGGAAAATTAAGTGGATGAATTTGGCGTACTTGTTAATTTGTGCAGCAATAAATCTTCCTGTCCTGTCAATGGAGGGGCACAAACCTGTGCGTTGACGGAATGCATGTAAACCAAGACATTTGTTTGTGTGAATCTGTGGTCAGTAAATATTTAGACATGTTTACTTCCTCAGCGGATGTAAAAACCAAGCGAAAGCCAAAAAGGAAGTGGTTGTATGCCGCTGTGGAAGTAGACTGGAGAACTCCCCTAGAAATGAAAGTACGCAAGTGTTATGGGAAAGGGTGGAGAGAGAGGGGATTAGATGGAGCACAAGAAATACGGCCACATGAACTAACTAGATCTTGACACAGGAGAGAGGTGGTCACTTCCTTCAAGAGAGACGGTATTCAGCGTGTGCTTGTTCGTGTGTTTGTGGAGCAATTTGGACGCTACCACTCCACAGGAATCTCTCACTTTCTATAGTCTGAGCAACTGGACCTAGGGTCCATCTATTTTACCGTCCAGTCAACCCATAATTCAATCCAATGCAGAAGAGCTCATCACACACAAAATAAAATGACCCATCGATGACCTCGGGTCTCATAGCAGTACAAGGAAGTCGGTACAGTGGATGACAAAGTGCGAAATGGAGGGGAAGGTAGTTGTGATTCAGCCTAATTGGCCACTAATCCCTACGGAAACACCTTTCAAGCATGCGAAGAAAGGAAATAATTCGTGCCTCCTTGTACGTAGCTTACGTAGACCGACCTCTGCATTGATAGTGGTAGCCAGAATGCTTCAAATGAGCCGCATTAGGTGCGAAAATGAATTGGATTATGAAAAAGTTGGTGTGCATGCATACGACAAGGCCTCATCACCTTCCACCACGAACGAGCCATCACTTTACCCATAAGTGGAGGACAGGAAGGTTGCTTTATCATATCCAGGTGACAAACCAAGCAAAATGTACTCCTTTTTGTTAGCCACCTTCTGTCGCTACATTGTCATTTCCACAAAACAACAATCTCTAATGTCCTGTGCGTACACAATCCAACAACGGCTTCCAACGTTGGTTGTTCCAACTGCCCCTCATCTACTAAATCCACAGCCTACCAAAATGACATTCAGAAAAATAAAAAGCGAAACACATTCAAGCATTCTATGGATCATATAACGATGCTCGCCAAGGTGATGAAAGCACAAAACGTAGAACAGGCAAGTGTTAACGCAGCCACGAACGCCAGTATGGGGGAAGGCGATAGAAGTGTAATTAGCAGTCAACGTTGAACGGATATTCAGGGTGCCCCACAAAACTAAAAGAGACAAAGATATAGACAAGAAAAGAAAAAATGTGCTACTTGCATAAAGCAACATACCATGTTAACAAAACGATGTAACAGAATTTGAAGTACAGTTGCAGTAAATAGAAAGTTCAATTGTTGCACAAACTAGGATGGGGATAACTTACGCTGGGGCCAAAAAGATACGCTTATTTAAA